TTTCATTTTTAGGGCCATGAACAGGTCAAATTAAAATCTAAATGCTTCAGCTGGTAAAATAGGCCTGCAGTCTCTTTCCTGCTGTTTAATTTTGCATCAGCAGAAAACATCATAATTCAATTCACCTTTATCTGTGGAGCGTCTTTACAAATGTAGATTGCGTCAGAGCAGTGACATGAAAGATCATAGTACATTAAAACAGTGTCAGTCCAGTCCAGTCCAGTTCAGTTCAGTTCAGTTCAGTCCAGTCCAGTTCAGTTCAGTTCAGTTCAGTCCAGTTCAGTCCAGTCCAGTTCAGTCCAGTTCAGTTCAGTTCAGTTCAGTCCAGTTCAGTTCAGTTCAGTCCAGTTCAGCTCAGTTCAGTGTGGTTTATTAATCACTACTGAGAGTCCAAACACTGAAGAGCAAATCCATCCGTGCGCAGCTCTACAGATCCTGAACTCAGCAAGACAGCGGCGACAGCGGCGAGGGAAAAACATCAACAATTGGCAAAAGGGAAGAATTAGAAAGCTTGGAGAGAAGCCAGACTCAGCTGGGCACGATCACTTCTCCACTGGCCAAATGTGTTGTGCAGAGCTGCAGTCAGTTGAGCCTATATTACAATATTTTTAAGATTATCATTCAGCTTACCCGCAGAGCATGTGAGAGGCTGAATCATGGAAAACCCACTTACACACTCGTTACCATTTATAAGACTGTAAACTCGGCCTCGCAGGTTGATCGTCTATAATCTTAAAGACATTATTAAGTGTCTTAACTTGAGACTGCTGCTGCATGACAGGACGCTTCTCTACACGACTGTAAAAGTGCGCTTTAGCCACGTCAAAATGAAGGCAAATGTTCTTAAAGGTTCTGCGTTTGTCAATTTTATAGGTTCATTTGAATAATACTAATAATGATGAATATAATGAAGGATAATATTAATAGTGTAGACTACTGTGGGACTGTGCAGTGTCCAACTCAACATGTTTATTAGGCTACTCTAATGTTAATCCCCGACTGAATAACGAATGTATAAGTGACTGGCGGTTGTGTCTCTGCTAAAATGAAGTTAACTGCACATTTCCTGAGCGCTTTTTCCCTTTAGAGCTCAAGAGAGCTGTGTTTAAAGAGTTAGTTAACCAAAGCCTGTCATGAGTTAGGCTTCACGTCATCCACTAGTGCAGTCTTCTCCTGTGTGAGTTTGGAGTGCGCCTCCGCCGCTGCCTGCACCTGACTAATAATAACAATATTGACCTTACATTGTTCTTAAAATCATGTTAAAAACAGCTTCAATTCCTGCAGCCAAACTGACAGAAACTGCACTTCCCCTCCTGAAGAGGAAACTATAATGAGCGCTCTGTTGAACAACACTGGGGGAATCTCTCAACAACAGACTGACAGGAGGAAGAGCGAACAGAGCTGTGTTCAAGTGCTCTTCCACACACACACACACACACACACACACACACACACACACACACACACACTCACACACACACACACACACACACACACACACACACACACCGCTCCAGATGAAGGATGAAGAGCGCCTCCTCCTGGATGAACACAGTTACTGCACTCTGCAGAGTCTCACTGCTAGAACACACACACACTGAGCTCTGACAGAATACAGCAGCGTCTGTGATCTGATGAGCTTCACACACACACACACACACACACACACACACACACACACACACACACCTGATCAGCGTCCAGCTAAGAGTCAACCTGACATTAATCTCCGGGTAATCACAGGAGGACATCACAGGGACCGGGACGCCCAACAGAGCAGCTTATGGCAGCGCATTGAACAACAGAGATACTGAAGAACACCTCACACACACACACACACACACCTCACACACACACACGACTGGAAGAACATTTCACACACACACACACACAAACACACACACACACCTCACACACACACACCTCACACACAGACTGGAACAACACCTCACACACACTACTGAAGATCAACTCACACACACACACACACACACACGACTAACTTCTACATTTACTCTCCACACTTGTGCAGCTCAGACTCAAGTGTGTGTGTGTGTGTGTGTGTGTGTGTGTATGTGTGTGTGTGTGTGTGTGTGGACTCTGCATGTTGCTGTGAGATGAGCAGTGAGTGCTGTCAGTGCTGAGTCT